TGCGCACTAAACTCTTTGAATCGTTCCGGACTTTTTAACTGCCAAGAGATAAACTTAACGATTACGATAATTTGTTAATATTATTCGTAATCATTAAATATTATTCAACTTGATTGTTCAAAATTTTAGTCTAAAATCAGCCACAAGTTTTTACAATTAAAAATTTACAATTAAAATTTCTTACCATTTCTCTACCGTGTTAACAATTTATAATTGTCAATTATCTTAAATTATCACTACGTACATACGTACATATACTTTTTTAATATATATATATATGCATAATTCTGTAATTACACATACGTACGTACGTACATATTGTAGATACTTTTATCTATTTTTAGATTATACTTAATACTATTCTTTAAATTAGTATTGTACAGTTGTAACAAAATTGAAATTTTAAAAAAATGTCTAACCCAAAATTTTATTAACCCAATTTTCTAACTCTTAATGTTTAAATTTTAATTTCACATTTTTGATATGTCAAAAATTGAAGTTAATTAAATGTTTGAGACAAGACCAAAAAAACTTAGAACAATCGAACTGTTATAAATTGTAGACAATATGTTTTTGCAATAATTATTTTGGTTACTTTTTTGATATTACTATAAGTATTTAAACAAATTTTATATAGTGTAATAAATAGTATATAATAATAAACAACTTATTTTAATTTAAAAGTTGTGTAGTAGTATTTGATTTTAGATGTGTAGTAGTATTTAATTTTAGATTATAATATTTTTTGCATATTTTTTACTTGCAGCATTAGCTGTTTTGTTGTTTAAGCAGTTGCTTCTTTATATATATTTTTTTAAAAGACTTCTTTATATTCTCTTTAGATAATAGCTTATCTTGTTTATATTTTTTTGGTTTTTGTATTTTTTTAAAGTTTATTTTTTCTTCTTTTTTTACTTTAGTGATCCTATCTTTATTTTTTAAATTGTTAACTAATTTCACAAAATCAAAACTAAAACTATTTTGCTTAAAATTATTCTATTTAAATAGAATAGAATAAATAATAAATATTAATGCTGCTTTCATAATAAAATGATTAATTTTTAATACTTACCAAATATTTATTAATATAATATAAAATTTGTTCTTCTTTATATAAAATATTTTTTGATTATAGGTTTAAAAGAATATTATATACTGCTAGTACAAATACAAATAATAGTTAGTTAAATCTAAGATAATAGTTATCCTGAAAGCTATTCTTGCAATAATACTGATCTAAAAAAGATCTTTATCATTTGCTTAAAAGAGAATAATAGCAATCTTAAACTTGTGAGCTTTTCTTTTATATAATATATTTCAGAAGCTATGTTATTCTTAAATGAGTAATAGTTTTTCACAATTAAAAACTTTTCAAATAGCAGAGCAAATATTTGAAATACTAAATCATGATAGTTTTTTATTTTTTGCAAAAGCTATTAAAAGATAATAATTAATTAAAAATAAATGATTAAAATACAAAAATGTAATAATTAGAAAATATAATGATTAAAATACAAATATATAAATAATTAAAAATTATAATAATTAAAATACAAACAATGTCACGGCTGATTATGAAATCAGATTATTGTGAAATTTGGGGTCTCAATTTAAAAATATAGGCCCTACCAAAATCTACCAATACTCTTTTATTAAAAACTCTAACCCTAAATCCTAACTCAACTATAAAAAAAAAGTCTACAAAAAAAGACCCAAAAAAATTTAAAAATCGTATATGAAATAGATCCAAATTTCACAATAATCTGATTTCATAATCAACCGTGACAAAAAAATATATAAAACTAGAAATTAGAAATCAGTATAAGTCTGAAGTATAAATATTATATACTATATATCTAAAAATAAATTATTTTTTATATAATTTAAATAAAAATAAGTTTTTTTAATTAATTTATAATAAGTTTTATATAGTAAAATCAAAATTTTACTAAATAAATCAATTACTATAAAGTTTTAAATATAAGCAACTTCTCAAAGCAATTTTTAAAACCAAAATTCTTGTAATTTAATAATTAGATTTGCATAATTTTGGTATAATCAAATTGACTTATTAAAATAATTCGAATAGTATTAAAATTATACAAATCTAATTATTAGATTACAAGAATTTTGGCTTTACAAATTGCTTTGAGAGGTTGCTTATATTTAGAATTTTATGGTATATCTATTAAGTGAAAATTGTTTAGAAAATCAAATTATATATATTCTAAAATTTTTATATAAAGCCATATAAACTTAATAAATCGATTCTCATAATATAAAATTTTTGAAAGTGATCTAGCTACCCATCTTTTAGTTTTATTTTCAAAAAATTTGATATATAAAAAACATATAAAATTTTTTATAAATTTTTAGAAAAACTCACTCGAATAATAAATATACTTAAAATTTATTTTGAAAGTTTTGTAAAAATTAATCTAGCCGGGTTATGAGAATTGATTTATTAAGTTTGTATAGTCTAATTCTAATAATTTTTATTATTTGATATTTACTTTTTATTGTTACTAAATAAAAATTTAAAAAATTTTAAACAATTTTTTAAATATAAATTGCAAAAACAAATAGTAAAAAGTTATCAAATTTGTATAAAAATTTTAATATATATATATTTATCTTTTAAACAATTTTTACTTAATAGATATAATCAAATTATTTAGTAAAATCTTAACTCTACTATTTAAAAACAAAATATAATATTTAGAAAATATTAAAATTATTTTTTTGGATTAATTTTTAGTATAGGTATGTATATATAATTATTATATAATTATAATATATAAAAAGTATCTATTTTAAACTAATTTAAGTAATTTTATAAATTGTTAAGATCAGGGTTAAGATTAGAATTTAAATTGGTTCAAATTAGTTAGGTTTTATATATTATAATCTTGTAATAATTTATATATACCCATTTATATTAAAGAAGATCTAAGAATATATACTAATCATATATACAACTTTTGGTTGTTTATTTAAATAGTCTACTTATTACTAAGTTCTATACTAGTAGCTATACTTATAATTTAATTAGAAGGTTACTTATTTAAATCCTTTGTATATATATAAAATATTCTACAAATCAAACAAAAAATACTATACCCTTTTATTTTTACATACTCAGTTTAAGATTTTAAAGCAGACTCTTTTAGCAATTCTGAAATCCTTTATTTTTAAAAATAAATTTGCTAAAATTTTCTATATTCTACATATAGCTGATCTAAATTTTAATAACTTATATCAAGTTTGAAAACTTTTACTTGTAATTAATCTTTTAATCTTTGCTACTATTATTTAATACTTGTCTTTATAAATTTACAACAAGATCTTAATTCTTACTTTACAATATATTTTTAATATTTTAGTATACTCTGCAATTCTTTCTAAACTTCTAATCTAGATAGCCTGAAAGGACTATGATCTGTATATTAAATTTAGTTTAATATTTTTTTTTTTCTGGTCTGAATTTTAATAACCTGGTTAGTAAATCTCTTTCTTTCTTTTTTTTTTTTTTTTTTTTAACGTCTACTCTCTTGGGAGCTAGGATTTTGCTTTATTGATATATTTAAGTGCATATATAGTTTTTGATTTCTTGTGCTGCACTACTCGAACCTAAATAGAAAAAAGATAGAAAAAAGATAGAAAAAAGATAGAAAAAAGGTAGAAAAAAGGTAGAAAAAGGTAGGAAAAAGGTAGAAAAAAGGTAGAAAAAAGGTAGAAAAATAGGTAGTTAGATATTTAATAAATTAAGATAAATCGGATCAACAACCAAACTACTATTATTAAATACCTTTCCGAATGCACCCTTTCCTACAGACCTTAACAAATGAAAATGCGATAGCTCGACTGCATTTATGCATAAATTAATCCAAAAAAAAAGGTAATAATCATGATAATTATAATAATTATAATGATGATAATAATAAAGTTATTAAGTTTTTTTTAAAAAAAGTTATATTAAAAACTTTAAATTTTTTTTTAAAGGCTTATTTACCTTCAGCGTCGAAATCTATTTCCTCTTCTTTACAACAACCGGAACCCATTTAAAAGTATGTAGGAGGGGTAATTTAAACACGGGGTTATAATACAAGTCGAAAACGCCGGGTACGAAATGAACCTAACTTTTTCTATATATAAAGTCTATTATATAAAGATATATATAAAATTTTAAAGTTCATTTAAATGCAGCCAAGTGAAAAGTAAATTGTTTAATAAGTGGGAAAATAGTTAGTGACGGCCCGCCGGACTAATAAAAAAGAAAGGAAGAACGCTAGAAGGTAAGATCGTAAATGGTTACGAAGTATCAAATAAAAACTGTACAAGTAAAAGCCAGAAAGAGCGGCTAAGCGAAAAAAGGAAAGCGAAGAGTCAAAAGGATAAGATTAAAGTGAAGGATAAGATAGAAGGCAGAGCCTTCCTTTTGTTTGTAGGGATAAAAAAAATACAGAAACAAAATCGTCAATTGCTTTGTTACCATTATTGCAATTTCAAAATTACACAGAACTGCATATTAGGACGTAAAAATTATATTGCTTGTGTTTCTCGTGTATAAGACTTATTCTAATTATGGTGATAATTTGCATCACTATTTGAATTCAGATTCTTTTAACCTTGTTTACTAAATTTCGTGACCCCACATTTTTTTTGTCATGGAGAAGTCCAAGTGATGTTTGACATACAAAGAAAAAATGGTTTGATTGGTCTGTTTGATCACAAAGAAGGCAAAGTCTGTTACTCAATTGTATTAGCATTAGAGCATTTTCGAAAATAGCATTCTTAAACAAATTATCAAAACGATTCACGTATGAAGTCACTGCAATATGCATACACGAGTGATGACGATTATTAACTTCTTATTCTTGATTACGATTTTGTCTCAGGGACCGGCAAAAATTTATAGAAATTTAATATAAATATTTGCCGGTCCCTGCTACCCTTGTCTACTTTATCCGTTTTATCCGCTTTGTATACTTTGTGTGATAATGTCTTTTACGAATGCATCAAAGAAGTTCAACTTCAACGTTAATACTTTGAAACTTACTCCTGAAAAATTAGCTGAATGGTGCAAACGACGTACATCAAATACATTACCTTTATCACAAGCTTTTAGTAAAGAATCTTCTCAGTTATCTCAACCGTCAACTGACTGCGCATCTGACCCTCAGGAAATGAATGTTACTTTTGTGATTATTATTTTATTATTATTTTATTATTGTTTTATTATTTTATTATTATTTTATTATATATTCGTTTTTTGTATTACAGCACCGTTTGGAAACGATTGAGGCATGTAAGGATTTACGTGGTATTTGTTATGTTTCTATATTTGTTTTTGATCAATTCTCATACTTTAAATTATTATAGCCTTAGAAAAAATTCAAGAATCCCAACTTCATATAAATCAGGATCTTGATTATCTTGAAAAGTCTTTGGAATCTTTCGAAGACGAATTAGCCGGAGCACGAAGTAAAATATTATATTTTACTATTTTTATTTATTTATTTATTTACTTATTTTTTTTAATAAAAAATTATTTCTAAATAAAACCCGAATTATGCCGGTTTGAATTAGTAAATATATGCGAGTTAAAGCAAGATACTACTAGACAAATCACGATTAATATATTTGAACAGATTGAGGAGATGACAGGCAGATTTAAAATAGATATGCAATAATAAATAACAATAATAATTCTAATAATTCTGTGTTTATTTATTTAATATATGCAACAATTTGTGTTATGTTATAACATTCCTAATTTGGACCTAAAATTCTCTCGTGTACTCTCATGTTAAAAAATAATACCGATACGTATGCCTATATATATTGAATACATACAATGATAATACAATAAGAGTTTTCTCGACAAATCAAAGAATGCGGCTTTTAGCTTATACAGTACCGGACAGCAAGAAACATCCAATTTTTTTTTAAAAGCGCCAAATTTTGAGATTTATACTCAAATCTGAT